GAGTTTCCGGGTTTATGATCATCTCCGCGTATCTGGTCACGTCCGTGATCGCATCCCCGTCACAGGGTTTGCCATTGTTCTTCCAACACCAACAGCCACCAATGTCAATGAGGTAAAACTGGCTCTTGGATCCTCCTCGAATGTTGATGTCCAAAGTCAGCCTTACTTTAAAATTAGGTGATTCTGGAATAATCTAGAATGGACTAATAATCTAGAATGTCCAACACCAACAGCCACCAATCTGGAATAAGTTATGTGATAAAATGGACTAATAATCCTTTTCTTCTCAAATAATCTAGAAGCAAAATTTATTAGAAACACAGGCAGATCCAACTTCAAACAAAGATGATTTTACTTATAATTTGACACAAGTTAGTCTTCTCTACTTAATTAAATTAAATGCAGAGCCAGGTGTCATGGAACTTCCGAGTTGCGGCTTTAGGCAAAAATTCAGTCAGACTTAGCTGCTTGATTCAGTGGCCTTGTGACCTTCACTGGAAGAACATCTCCTGGGTTAGCCTAATAGTACCATTAACAGTTCAAAAAGGTCAAGAACTTGAAGTTTATAACACCGTTGACCATGGTTTGGTATGAAATGCTATCTAACAGTAACAGAATTGAATAATTAATCTATTCATGCAAAAAGGACTGAGACAGATACAAGATTAATAATTCATGAAAATCCTAAGCTGAATAAATTAACACGAAATCCAATTAGCTTAACAGATTCTCAGCCGTCCATTTGTGTCCTTGTTTTGTGAATTGGTAGTTTGTTATTTGTCATATGATACAAGGAAAGCATATTTCCTGTTTGCCAGTCACTACATTACATATTTTCTTAATCACCAAGACAAGCAATAAGACTAAACTTTGCGCTCAAAATTATAAGTAACGTAATTAGATTCGAGTGCTCAAAATTATATTCGGATGAATCGATTATTCTACTTACTGTTTTGAGCATTCCTCTTGTATCATAGTGATAGCCACCAGAATATCCTTGGCTTGCATCAGCTCTGAGGTAGAGCATCAGCCATGGATAATTCTTTGAAGTCTTGAGTATGTGTCTGAACTGCCAGCTTCCAGCATCACGTTTCTTCTCCCATTCCACCTGGTAGAAAGATATCAAATCGAGCCCATCACTAGGGTTGGATCCCAGATCATAAGTCCCACTAAAACCTCCTCTCAATGTAGTATTACCATCCAGCAGCTGAGTCTTCTGGTGGACCACAGTGGGTTGATTCATACAGCCCTTCCCAAAGCAAGGGAACCTTCCGGAATAGCTAAAAGGTGGTGTCTTTTTCCCATTGGAAGGGCACAGCCCAGCCATAAGTGTCAAAGTTTCCATTTTTTAGCATAATCATCCAGAACTGCCATGGTTTTGGAGAGTCTGGGACTTGACACAGAACCCAGATACAGGTCCTTCTCCACTGCATAGAGGTCTACGTTGTTCAAAGCTCTCTGGCTTATCCCTGGGAATGGTGTCCCCACCTCAAGCAAGTTATCTTTTTCGCTCACCCTGTGTTTTAAGGAAGTACCAAGTTTAACAGATTAATTAACAGAATTAATTGAGAATTACGTAGTGACCAACATTGTCAAGAAATTGGAACATTTATCAAACAAATGGTGAGCAAGTAAATAAATGATTGAAGTGAATTTTCCTCAGTTTCTTTGTTGGTTGATGGTGGTTGGGCTTACTTGTGAGATTAAATCAATCAGCAGCTCTGGGGCTGCCCATATCAGGTGCTTCTGCTCCAACTTCATTGCAGAAGTTCCAAGCTTCCAAGGCCACTCTTAGTTCATCCCTTCTCATTCCCGGGTCTCCAACTGCTGAGACATAATCACTTTCACCAGAAACGAAAGCACCATTAAGGACAGGAATAATACAGAGCAGCAGAAGAATCAGACGTGACAAGAACAATGACACATGCATCATCATCTTTTTCTAAAACTTTGACATCTTCATCTTCATGTTTTCCATATCATTACTTTTGTATTGAATTTGATGGTGTGACACCAACTGGAAGGAACTATGGATCGAAGTGCTGCAAGTGGAAGAGGGTCTGTAGTTGGTTACGAGTCGAGTGGGACCTTTTATGGTCAAGGAGGCGCTAAATTAGATTTTTCGTTTGTCTGGATGAACAACCCCGGAATAACAACCAAAACTTTTATGGAACGGAACGCAGTGGGATGGGATGCACTCGTCCCACGTTTGGTGTGCCAATTTGCCTGGGACGTCCTGTCCCGTGGAACGGATTTTAGTCAATTTTTCGTGCCACCCTCGCCCTAGAACGACTTGTTCCAACCCATGGAACACAAAATTATAACTTTTTGGACAACAATACCCCTCCTCTTTTTCATTAGTTTCACTTCAAAAATTAAACAAAATTAATCAAAATTCCAAATATCTCTCTATTTCTACACAATTGGCATAAAATATTCATTAAAAATCGAAATTTACCTCAACAAATCAACTCAAAAACTGAGTTCTCTTGTTTTTCTGGAAAATCAAGCTTCTTTAATCGCACTTCAAATTTCCCGGGAAATTGAGTGACAAAAACCCAACAAAAAGCAATTTTCTTTGTGTTTGATTTCTATATTCAAAGAAGAAAAACAACAAAACAAAGAAAACCCAGATCGGATAAAGGGTTCCTCAGAAAGCCAAAGAGAGAATTTTCTGGGAAAAACAGGAAGAACATAAGGGTATCAGGGAAAGTCGGTGAAAGGACGTGACCGACGCCGTCGCTCGAGGGATGGGACGGTGAGGATTAGGCGGAAGATGTGAGGGATGACATTGAACTCGTTGACGGTGGCTCATATAAGGTCAAACTCGTCAAAGTGAATGGGTACAATTGTCATTTAATCTTTCATTTCATTCCGACCTGAGCGTATAGCAAACGTAGCATGAAACCTGAATGCCCCAAAAAAACCCTTAGCCGACCGTCTACAGAGAAAAGCAAAAGACTTACCTTTGACAAGACGTGAAATTTGTTGAATTTGCATCGGAAGGTTCGAATTAAAACATGAAAATTGAGATAAAGTCGGTTTTTAAAATTACGATAAATCGAATATTTCGAAATTGAAACAAAAATTTGATTCCGAAACTGTTTTTTTAGTAGACATTCGAATCACCCCTTACAATATCAACTGATAAAATATAATAAAGATTGTTTAGACTATCTGCAAATGATATGTCAAATTCTAAGTAGAATGACATGTAATTAAAATTAAAAATATAAAGAAGCTCCAACCAATAAGTTAATTCTACATGATGGATTGACATGAGTCTTTTGGAGTCAAATTTGACTGAAAAGGATCCTCGCCGAATCCTTTTCTTGGGGATCCGGCGGATTTCGTAATAATATCCGTTCATCGTACATCGTGCAGTCAATTTTCGTTAGGTAAAATTTATATTTAATTTTAAATTTTAAAATTTAAATGATTTCTGACCGCACGATGTACGATGAACAAACACGATTACGAGATCCTTCGATCTCCATGAAAAGGATTCGGCGAGGATCCTTTTCCAAATTTGACTTATGAAAAATGTGTTGTCAATTAATTATGTGGATCCCATTAATGAACCATTTGTAAATCTTAAAAATTTATTTGAATTCATTTCTTTTTAAAAATGAATCCTACAAATATCATTTATAATAATAATAATAAAAAAAAACAATGGGTTGGAGGAAAAGAAAATTTGATATTGTCACAACAGCCATTAAATTAATATTTGACATTTCCATTAGAAATACTCCTATAGGCAGGAAGTCAAGAGTGGTAATCCCAATGATTATTATTATTTCGACATAAGTACACGATTAATGGGTAAAGGGGTTTTTTAACTTTAATTTTTCAAGATGATTGAAATTTAAAATAAATCTAGCGTTAGATTACATATTGATTATGGTCCTTTGATGTGTTCTTAATTCAAAATAATTAATGTGTATTTTATTTAATGTCTCCCATTAAATATTTAAATTTATTAATATACAAATTTTAATTTATTTTTTGACAAAAAAAGTTTTTTTAATTTATTAATTTTATTTAACATTCTTCAAATTTGAAAGACACAATTAATGTACCTAAATGTAAGTACCAAAATATTAGCACCGAAATGTATTATATTAAATTAATGTTATGTTTACCGAAATGTATGCACCGAAATGTTAGTACCAAAATGTATCTACCGAAATGTATTATATCGAATTAATGTACTTTGTACCAAAATGTATGTACAAAAATGCATGTACCTAAATGTATGCACCGAAATGTATCATCGTGAAGGGTATGAATTTAATGTACCTAAAGGAAGAAGGCAAAGAGCATTGAAATATATTGTATAACAAAAATTAGTTTATCTAAATGTTTACAACAAAATATATTACGATTAATGAAATGAAAATGAAAATTATAATGAAATAAAATTAATACATCAAAATTAAGAAGTAAAAGATAAATAATTAAAACATCAAAATATAATTAATAAATAAGATGATTAATGTATCAAGAGACTAAAATTAGATTTTGATATTACCCCTTATTTTAGTCTAAAAGTCATATTTGACAAGGACTAGAATAAAGTTTTCTATTATTTATTTCTTATTACTGGAGCCGACATTGGAGTAGTGAGATGTTTTAATTTAATACAAGAGTGACCAGACATAATTATGTGGTATAAATACTTAATCCTCAGAACACGAACATGCCTGCCTGCCTTGTGCCTGCTGCAATCGGATCGAGCTTCAATACGTATATGTCGTCAATTTTCGCACACACCAGTGAAAGTGAAACCAATCACCAGAACGAAAACTAAAATATATATCAGCAATTAAGGAACCGGTGATGTCAGTTAGGTGGTGGATACAAATTTGATCAAATCATATGTATGGTTTAGACTTGGATTTGTCAGTAATTTTATAATCTAAAAACCTTCAAATGCGGTAAGTTTTGCTTAAGTCGGCCTACACTAAAACACAAGGCTGTTAAGTGAAACACAGGTATGAACCAGGAAACTATATCATCTGCAATTCAGCAAACTACCAAAAAAATAGGATTATAGTATCAAAACAAGAAATGAAACATGAATAAGGAAAGAAAGTATATCAGACTACTTAATGAATTCAGGAGAGTATATGTATCTCCGATTACACGATGCAAGTACAGGGAACCCATGTGCGTGCCAATGCCATCACATGGCCTTCTTTTTTTCTCGATTCCTTTTTGTTTCAATTACAGTATCATAAGGGAAAATAGAAATAAAAGGAAGAGATTCTAACTTACTGTGGACAAATTGTCTATGCACTTCACGTTCTTCTATAATCCTCGTACAGCAGCTCGGTGCAGAATAATGTCTATCCACTTCATCTTTTGCAAGGCAAAGCTTATATGCAATGCATAAATCTTCAAAGAATAGTTTGTTAGGAATATACAACGCAAGGGCCTTTGTCTTCAACATTCCCATGCTTTCACCAGAATGAGAAAAGGAGTCTGTTTCTTTGAACAAAAAGAGCAGAATCCAGACTTAACCTTATCAAGTCTACAAGCGATGCGCCAGCAGGTCAGGCAGCGTTATCTTCCCAGAGTGGTTCTGGTCAAGCTTACTGAACTGATCACAGATTTGCAGTATATCTTTCTCCCCTATCTTTCCCATCTCTTTAAGCTTGTAAATAACATACTCTGACTTGCTGAAATGAGCAAGCGAATAACATGTACGTGAGACTAATATGCATATTGAATAACTTTCAGAATTGCTCCTGTTGATCAATACAAAGACTAAAAGGAGGATCCATATAAATCAGTCTTATTACTCACATTTCTGTACCAGGATTCTGGTGTCCACTACAATAGCTAAGCATCTTCATTAGATCGATGCAGCTAGACATTACATATTCGACTAATTTCATACCAAAATTAGAAGATTGAATCTTCAATTGCCAACTCAATTCACTCCAAACAATTTTGTCTTTTGGAGGCTTTAATTTGAATTTAGTACATTTGGTAAGTTCACAGTACATGCTCGCAATGTTACATGGCAAGGCTTACACTTAATTTGCAGGATATCATTATCATTCCATCATCATACTAACAATCCTCCAGAGCAACGGTGAATACAATACTTACGCTAAACCGTCACTGTTATTCGTATCAGAATTGTTAGAGTTTGCTAGATTTGTTAGGTGAGCAGGCAGCTAATAGTTAACCGTGATGAGAAAACCATTCATCAACTCTTGTCATTCTTTACTAAATAAGCAATGATATTGTAGGTTACTTCATCAGTAACATCTAAAACAGATGGCAATTAAAAAGTAGATGAAGATAGGATGGATGCAATGGAAACTCACCTGATGAAACCATGGTTATTGATGTCAGCAGCAAGCAGATCCTGGACAGTGATATCCCTATGCAAAACCCAATTCATAATCCTCCTGTGCCTCTTGTCGACCCTAGCCTCCGCTAAATACATAAACGCCCGAGCCACCGCCAATGTCGAAAACAGAAGCCACACGGCGGCAAAGAGCCTTCCTTGGAGAGTCTTGAAGGCCCTGTCTCCATAACCAACCGTTGTAACCGACATAACAGACAAGTAAACAGAATCAATCCAGTCCAAATTCTCCACAAAACACAAGACCAAAGCCCCAATGCCGACGCACAAAACCACCACTCCAAGCGCCAGGCCAACCTTGAGTCGGATCCTCATCCTGCCCTTTGCCACATCGACGATATAGTTCCTGGCGGAGAAACGATGATTCCGGGAAGTCTGACCCATTTGAATTCCGGTCAGGATCATATTTTCTTGCAAGTCGAGGACAAAATTGACAACCCCACTCAGCAAAATGTCGATGAAACCGAACCCAAAGAGCACAAAGACGCAGGCGAAAATCTTGGTGAGGGGAGTGGTAGGAGCAATGTCACCGTACCCGATGGTGCACATGGTGACTATACAGAAGTAGAGGGCGTCGACGACCGGGTGGGTTTCGACACCGGAGAATTTGTCCCTGTTGAAGGAGTAAATTACAACGCCGAGGGAGAGGTAGACGAGGAGCAAGAAGACGGCTTGCCTGATGATGGAGGTGGAGTCGGATTGTGGTTTGGGGACCTGGGTTGTTGGGTGTGGATTGAGGTCTCGCATGACGGCCATAGCAGGGGCCGTCCTGCAGCGGTGGAGAGTGCCGGGTCTCTTCTGATGGCGGGCATTCGGGGCTCCTGACGAAGAGGGCTGCGGGTCTGGTTGGTGGACATGGTGATGGTGGGGTTGTTGGAGGTGGTAGAGATTAGGCTCGCTGTGGGAGGGAGAGATTTTGAAAGAGAAATCATCAGAGTCAGGGACTTGAACAGTGGGGGTGGGGGTGGGTTGGAGGAGTTGGTGTTGGGGCCCTGTTTGGGAGCCGAGAAAAGGCTCCCTTTCCATCGGGAAAAATAAGGGAATAGATTCTCTCTCTCGGTTTGGAGTTTGGAGTTTGGATGGTGGAGGGAGAGTGGCAGTAAGTAGATAAGACGGTAGTTAAAACTCATTAACTTTGCTTCAAACGTATGCTTATTTTTGCCTATTTCGATCAGAGTTTGGGACTTTGAGCCCCCCTCTTCCATTGAAGGGCCAAGTGACTCGTTGTACTGTTGAAAAATGAATTTCAAATCATAAATATGAATGAGTGAATTATAATTCATAATGATTTTACTATTAATTGCATTGACGTATTTTATAATGAAATCCAACATGCGTACGGTGCATGAATCTTGAAAACTGAAACAAAAACAAAAAAGATTAAGTATCATTAAGGACCTTTGTGGAAATCGCTTTAAAATTTTAATAGTTCGAATTGTCTACTTTTAATTCGATAGTTCAAATATCATTTTTGAGAAAAGTGTACGAAATTCATTGAAGGGAGAAGAATATAAAAAAAAAAAATAAGGATAATGTGCATACAATGGCCTCGATAAAAAACTTGTTGAGATTTCAATATGGTCGAAGGAAAAAGAGTGTGCACAAACGACTTACAGAGTTAGCTATCATCAGAGATACAGTAAATTAGACACTTTAAAAATCTTTAGGATATCAAATTGTAGGGAATAAAATATACGAACATTGTATTCCAAGAAAATAAAAAACTATATTACAAATCCATTTAGTTGAGTGGTTAAATAATTTTGGGTTTGATTTGAGGGAAGACCAAAATAGTGGTATCTTAGCACCATGCAATAAAATTTGCAGTTTTTTTTTTTGTTGCAATTTTTTATCGGGTGATTTTGTATGCAATTTTTTGTCAGTATAGCAACTAGTCGTCAAAATGGGCTTTGTGTTTCATATCATCAATAAAGAGCTGGCTAGGAATGAGAAATCGCTTTCGAAACAATTCGCAGGGGAAGTTGAGGACGAGTCGGATATCTTGTTTGCAGCATATATGTTGACTAGAAGATGATTCGCTAATACTCAATAAGCTAGGTCATAGCTTTCACTACCTACCCACTAGCATTGTGATTGTTAACTGGTTTACACTTACACTAGTAATGCACGATTCTTCTTGCTTTCTTGAGGATGAATTGCCCTCAATTTCGCCTCCTTCAGCTTCGGAAGCACTAAAATGATCACGAGACAAGATCTGAAAAGATTTTGGACGAGATTCGTCAGCCAAATACGTGGGGACGGGCATCTTCGATGGAAGAAGGGGCATATTGTAATCTGGATGAGCACACCATAATCCAACAATCATCAAGCACTCCATTTGCTTCTTGTCAAAATTTCCACACAATCTTGAGTCAGCTGCTTCAATCACTTTCTCTTTCCTCACTCCACCACGTTCACTTCATTATTACTACTTGTTTCCAAAGCTGTACACGTCTGATTCCTTACTAGCCTTTCCTGTGATAACATATTCGGGACCCATGTACCCCACTGTTCAAGCTAGCTAGAGCTGTTGTTTTCGGCTCTTTTCCATGATCTACAAGTCGTGCTAGCCCGAAATCCCCCAACTTTGCATTGAAATTTGAATCCAACATACGAATGCTGGATTTGATATCCCTGTGAAGCACACATTGCTCCCATTCTTGGTGGAGATAAAGCAACCCGGATGCTAAGCCTTGAACAATTTTGTACCTCACTACCCAACTCAACATGCTTTTTTCTTTGAACAATTGACAGTCTAAGCTGCTTTTGGGCATCAACTCATAAACAAGTAGGAGTTTTTTTTCATGGCACCAACCAATGAGTTGCACCAGATTCGGATGCTTAAGTCGACTAATGATCCTTACTTCCGCTGCATATTCCTTCAATCCTTGTTTAGACCGTCTCGATATCCTCTTAACGGCAACAAATGAGTTCAAGTCTTCTATGAAGCCTCTCTAAACACCACCAAACCCTCCCTCTCCAAGCTTTTCTTCTTCCAAAAAATCACTTGTGGCACGAGCCAACTCACCATAGGAAAACTTCCTCGGGCGAGTCCCATTTCCAAATTCATCATCAATCAAGTCGCAAACCATAGCATCTTCTTCATCACTATTTTCCCCTGCGTTCCTCCTCTTGCACAAGATGAACCAAATCACAATCCCACCGACCAAGAATGAAAATCCCCCAACACCTATCCCTACTGCGATTCCTATATTTTTGCCCTTTCCTGACTTAGGTAGAGGAGAAAAAGGATGTGGAGCTTCAATGTCAACCAGCTGTGAAGTTGAGCTGAAACTCCAGGAGTTGATCCGGTGCAGGGCAGCGATATTATCGCCGGTTGCAGTGGAGAAGCCCGCAATGACCCTATCCCGCAAGTAGTCATTCACATTAACACTGTAATCAAATACCTCATCACTTGAATTCCATTCACATAACTAGTGAAAGCCACGCTGAGATTTTTTGCCGTGGAATCATAATTAACCCTAGCACTGTTGATTTTTCCATCCACAATGCTACCATTCCATGGCATGGTAATTTTAGACATGACAGAGTTGATGTCGATACCTGCATGTTCGCCCACGGGATTGTTGATGTCTGACTGATTATTCTGGTAGATGTCGAACTCAACCTCCACGTATGGTGGGTAGGGGAGGCCCATCCTAACACGGCTTTGTCCTTGCGTTCGGTTGTAGGTGAATGGATATCCTCACCTCATGATCATTCATGGTACACCGCGTTGTTAGTTTTTGTTAGATGTTATTTGTATTTAATTTTAAATAAAAAAATTCAAAATAATTTATAACCGTACGTATAATAAACGATTATGATGTAAGAATTCTTAGGATTCTCACAATTTAAATCCGAATGGGATGCAAATCCCATATGAATGACATCATCAAGTGGTAACTTTGACAGAAAGAAGATTGTTGACCTTCTCAAGTCTCACGTTGGAAAAACTGCCAATGCGGGGACATTCAATTCAAATGTATTGGTCTCCTAGAAGGGTACATACATAGAAACTCTCTTGTAACAATTTCTAACACATGAGATCTGCTAATTGGACAATTGGTTCACATTCTAGACACTTGTCGTTGTTTATTAGACGAGTGATGCCCTCAAATAGAGCATTAGTTGCGAATTCTTTTTTCCCGTCTATGTGACAAATATTGGCTTTAGCAATAATGTAATTTGTGAGAGTGCGTAAAAGCTTGAATAATTATTATCACAACAATAGACATGTCTGGTGGTTCCTTATCTATAAGTCAGTGGAATATAATTAAGAGGAAAGGTTTTGTCCGAGCATGGAAAATGCCGCGAAATTGTTGGCTAAGAAAATATCTCTCTTTATTTTCTGGTCAAAGGTTAACAAAAGATGGAGATTAATCGGGGATTCATGTCATGTACACAGTTTCACGGGCCTCATCAACGTTAAAAGTGAGGAAGTGACAAAAATGATTTATTTCTTATTATATATTCAATATGCAGCATGTGTGAGTGTGCAGGTGATTGGTGCGTTTATATACATTTACAAGAACATACTGAGGAAATTGGTTAGGAGCTTAAGCTTAGTGTTATGTGGCTTAAATTTTTATGATTGTGTAGAGGGAAGTCTTCTATATGAGCTGTGTATGTGGAGCTGCATATTGTAAGAATAATCTGACCTTTTTGAACCCGAAAATGAAATCATTGGCGACTTCAATATATAGTAGGTTTTTGCTCTATTACAAAAATAATATGCTCAATTTACAACACGTCTAAGTTCAATAATGAACGTCATTTTTTGTGATAGTAGCGACCAGTATTTATAGAGACAAATATGATTCTCCTATTAGAATTCACATAGAACACCAATAATCTCATTATCAAACTTTAAGTGATAAAAACCAGTTTACATACTAAGTCTCATTCCATGTAAATTAGGACAAAGTAATCTTCTTCTCATAAGACTTTTCTACACCAATTTGGATAAACTGGCTATAGCAATCACTTGCATACTCATATTCGTACATTCTCCCACTTGAGTATGAACCATGTTTCTAGCACAACTTTCAAATTATAACATAAGTGCTAATTTTTACCACCTGCAAAAATATGATTAAAAACACCTAGAAGTACTTGTAAGAGAACAAAGTAATTGTAGTATAAGCGGCTCAAGTAAGGTCGTTATCTACAACGATTGAGATGAATAATTTGTATATAAAATAAACTCTTAGTTAACTACGTCAAACAAAATTTTGAAAGAATTGAAATAAAATAACAAAAAGTATAATAATTGAAATTGTGTTTTGTGAAACTAGGCAGCACAGAGAAAACAAACTAATTTTAGAAAAACAAATGTAAAAAGCAAGAGTATTTAGCCCTCGCCGTTAACTATCCTATGCAATTCTACCAATCATTTATGAATTACAAATACATGTTTTGAAGGTTAGATTTTTCTAATGTATATTCTCTTCGTGATATTCAAGTATGAGCGTATATCTAATATACAATTGTATGTGATATTTGGATTAAATATAAACATGTAAGACTCATTAAGTTTTGTGAAAACCTTTTGAAAAATCACAAAAATGTAATAATCATGACCACAATTTCTTTTTCGGAACTCAAAATTCATCTTCCTGTAGAAATTTGTTCTCACAAACAAATCATATATCCATAAGTTGTCTCACCTCTCTACCATAATTAGTTTAAGAAATAGTCAGTTGTGTTCAATTTCAGAAATATTGTTTGTGCTCAGTTTCAAAAATAGTGTAGCTATGAAATCCCGTTATCTACGTATTGGTATTATTGAGATTTTGTATTATTTTTGGGGAATTTAATTAATTTAATTGAATTTAGATTTTAATTAAACTAGTTACAAAGTTTGAAGTTTGGAAATTAGTTATTTAAAATCTGTAGGCCTTTCAAGGTCACAATTTATATTTTCGAATATAGCTCGATCTCATGAATGCGTAGACTCAGATCGTTCGTGAAACAGAGCTATAATGAAGGAGTTATTAACGTTTAAAGTTAAGGACATTTTGGTAATTTTCCTTCAGTTTAGAAGGCTCTAGATTTTCTGGAGCAATGTGATGTGCCACGTATGTGGCTAAGATGAAAAGAAAAGAAGAGAAATGAGAGAGATGGACAACTAGGATGAAAATGAGAGGAGAGAAAATGAGGGATTGGGGGGCTACCCAATCAGAAACAAGAGA